AGCCTTGTTTAAGATACTTCATGTTATTAATAATAATAATACCTAAATATCTTCTCAATGGTATACTTATAGCTAGTTAAATTCACACAATCTAGTTTAGTTTTTATATGTGAGTAGCTGGTGTGTGTGATAGGCATGTAATGCCTGTGTTACAAATCACGAGGTCCTCACCCCACTCATAAAAAGGGTATTTGGTAAAAAATAAAAGTTAATAGTATACACAGAAAACCGGTGTTAAGCAATTCTTTCGTTGCCTTTCACTGAGTGAGTGAGGTTACCGGAGCCCAAATCTCGCTGACTCGAGCGAGAGGGACTCCAAGGACGGCAACGCACTTGTGACTTTTGTCCGGTGTCCATGGGCGGCGGTAGTTGCTTACCAACAGGTGATCCGTCTGCTCGTTTGCCCCCTTATACCATAAAAAAATACAATAAGCAATAAAAAAGTTAACAAAAATATAAAATCCATTTGGTATTATATTTTTACTACTAGAAAAAGACAAACACAGCGCCAAGTATGTGTATGTGCGTGTGTGTGTGTGTGTGCAGTAACGTGTTTGAGTCAATTTGAATGGAGTAGGTTTTCTGTAAAATTACAATTTAGCTTTTGTAACCAGTTCATAGCCAAAGACTTACATTTTGTTTTTGATAAGGGGTGTAAACTTAGGGCCCGATTTAATCTATTATATAAATTTGGACCCTGTTAACTGAAAAAACGACGTGCTAGACTAGTTTTACACAATGACACAGGGCAAACTTTATCTTTACGATGTTTGTGTCGGTTTCTTCCGGTTCATATGTTGTAAAACAATGTTGTTTGACCACGGTATGCAATATATAAAGTTGTCGCACTGTCATACCTTCCCATTTTTTGTAGAGGTCAACCGTTGCGCAGTAAAAGGCAAGAACAGTAAGAACAACTCACTTTCAGAATTGAGCTCTCTCAATTTAAAGAAAGTTATTTTTACATGCGCCACCCCAAGATGTGACGCAGTACGTAAGCTGAGGTTGAAAAAGGATATAGATATAGATTCAATAACAACTCTTGGACCAATTTGTCTCAAGGCTTTAAATAAAACTATTAGTTTGCGTACTCTCGCAATGATTACTCCCAAATATGTGGTTGACGGAGTATTTTGAAGGTCAGGGCATGAGCCGTCTGTATCATTGATATTAAGACACGAATGTGAGATTATGCGAAGCGAGGGATCAAGTATCTCATTGGATTTACTTGAAAACGTTATTAAGTAGACTTGGCGACAGTTAATGTGACTATATTTTTGTTTAACCATTTTGTAACAGTATTAATTCCTCTCTGTGCATTTAAAAATACTTCGCTCCATGAATTGCCACAAAAGAGAAATCTGCCCTCGACCTCAGTAACCGCTGCTTTTGATATGGCACGCTCTTTTGAATACAATAACTGGTCGTTTTGGGCAGCAGAACGATTAGTAATCAATGCACGCTGTCAACAATCATTGTATCGTTTATATTTCTTTTGATGAGTATTGAAAACTAAGATGTCGGCCACAAAATTTTATTACTCTAAATATATACAGCCTAACCAAAAAAGTATTTTCTTGCAACGCTAAGTATAGTCACACAAGTGTAATGTGTAAGAATAATAAATCATTATTGCTATTATATATTATAGCTTTGATGATAAAAATATGATAACAAGATTCACATTCGCGTATAATATAAGTATCCGCTGCGTGTATGTCGGTTATCGGGGGATAAAGTAGCCTATTTTACTCGCTAATAATGTTGTTTTGAATTGGTGAAAGAATTTAGTTGTTTACTCAACAAAAAACACAAAAAGCACTTAAAAACTATTACTCTTACATTTATCATATAAGTATGGATTAGCAATTAGTTATTAAGAAAATTCAATATTTACCTGGTTAGTTTAAAACACTAAAAAGTTAGTTTTATCTATACTAATATTATAAAGCTGAAGTTTGTTTGTTTGTTTGAACGCGCTAATCTCAGGAACTACTGGTCCGATTTGAAAAATTCTTTCAGTGTTAGATAGCCCATTTATCGAGGAAGGCTATAGGCTATATATCATCACGCTAAGACCAATAGGAGCGGAGCACCAATGAAGAATGTTTAAAAAACGGAGAAAATTTATTACTATTGAGAGACGCAGACGAAGTTGCGCGGGTCAGCTAGTTAAAAATAAATGGGGAATTCGGCACAGTAGAATCTATGCGAATTTAAGTTAAAGCTACGAATTCTCCATGCTCGCTGTATTTAATTTAATTTGAGGTACATATTATAATATCGAAGATAAAAATACCCACGAGTAAAATGTCGATGTTCCAAATATCGAAAATAAAAATATCGAATAAAATTGTTATACCTAAGCTGATTTGACTTATGAGCCGTATGGCTCATAAATCAAATGAGCTTAAGTAAATAAGTAAATAGCTCATAAGTAAAATTATTCACTTCACTTCTATGTGCTTAAAATAATTTACGGCCATACCATAAAAAAGTGGTTTGCATGATATGTCTTTTTCACTTTTATGAGCTTAAAATAATTTTATTAGGATTTAGAGAGCGTTCATGAATGCTATTAGAATGACTTTAAAATGTCATTTAATTCTGCATATTGCGTTAATTTTGCACAAATCTTAAATAGGTTTGAGATAAGTGCAAGTACCTACCTACATATTTTATTTTATACGTTGAGAAAATTGCATACAATTTAAAGGAACGCGTATTATGACAGAATGTCATAGAAAATTTTATACACGATAAATTATATTGTAAATTCGACTGTAATGTTAATACTTAATCATCTTAACAAATTGTCATTTCTTAATTATATTCAATTCTGGCTTGATACTATGTTTGTAATAAAATTTTATGAATAAATTACATTAAATTCGATGCGGTAGTCGAAATTAATTTTCCTACCTTAATTAAAATATTACCTTTACTTTTAAATCGAATACATCTTTTTATAAATATTTTAGGTTAATCTTTACATTACATAGTATAAAATAAAGTCGCTTTTTTGTGTTGTACACTTAGATCTTTTAAACGGATTTTAATGTGGTTTTCACCAAGAGGGAGAGAGAGAGAGTGATTCAAGAGGATATGTATAATACATGCATATTATAGTAGAGAAAATCCGAGAAACAAAAAAATAATGGGTTATTTACGTAGCTATTTTAAACAATACATTGTTATTCCTTATCCAATTAAATACGATAGATACGTTGTGCAATAAATGTAGATTAAAACTGCTCTTTAAAGCATATCAATAAAATGAATTTTTTGGAAGATATTATAGGTTTAAAATGCGCGGGCCCAACGACCGTCGAGCCGTACGTCCGTCCCGGGTGGCAGCGTCCGGCAGGATTATCGGTCGATCGTAAATAAATATTGCATTTAAAGATGACCTGTGGTATAATCCTATATGTGTATTGTGGTATAATAATAACAGTATAATACATTACTCCACACTGACACCACATTGGTACAACTAGTAGTATCTACATTGCACCCGTGAATTAGAATTGCGGTAGAATTTAATCCATGAGTAAAAATTAAGTTAGAATTATGCATTGCTCAAAACAAAATTAAAGTATATTAATGTTGTAATGGTATTGCGTATATTGTAATTGTGTTCTTTGCTGCTTGTGTAAATTGTCTAAACTAGTAAAAACATTATGTTTTAACTTAATAAATATACATATACGAGTACATAATAAGGACGCGATTTCATAAAACATAGATAAAAATTTGGTATTGGTATTGGTGTGTGGTATTGAACATATTTTTTAAGGCCTTCGGGAATGTAATAAAAAAAAACCATGATTATTTTTTAGTACATTTTGAATAGTAATTATACTTAGTAGTTGTATATACATAAGTATGTAAATAAAACATGCATTGTATGTACTTATAATTTTATATGTCTATACGTGCACGATACTGCTCAAAATATTTAGAGAATTTTTTTGAGCCCCTATTGTATAAACTACCATTGTTTTCTCCTATTAATAAAATTGTTTTGATGTATAATATAGCAAGTATCCATACGGGGACATGTCTCTCCGACTGCGAGTTAATCGCTGGACATTTGCCTTGTCCCAGTTTGGTATTGGGGTGTCGCGTTTCTGGGGAGTCAGTCATGTGTTTCGCGACACGACGTGCTGATTTACGCATACTCAATATGAAAAAAAAAACCATAAAATAATGTGCGACAAATAAGTCGTGTTATTTCTGCAAAATATTACAATAACTCGCTTAATTTGACTATGCACGCGTTAATAGAATCAAAGTTGCAAGACGAATTTCGAGTTTCTCTAGTAGAAAAAATGTTGACGTGATATATCAATATTTCGCATTAGTTTAAATAAATAAATACTAACTGAAAATACATTTGAATTAAATTTCTTTATCCATATATAAATTATTGATATCTTCGTTTCGCCTTCTATTGGCTCATATTTAATAGTCTATTATGTATTATTATTCTGATAGCGAACTGCTGTGCCCCTATTTTACTAAGTATTTTAATAATACAGGGCATGATGTCTTAAAACTTTATACATGCAACAGTTATATTAAATATGATTTCTTAATTACAACATACGTAATTTTAAGTGCATTATGGCTAGGTTAGCAGTAGTTTGACAAAGGCCTGGTATCTAAAAATTGTTCAATTCGAAAATTAAAATATAAAACTAAATATATTTCTAGAGCTATATGGACTAAATCTGACCGTCTATTTAACTAGCCTATCTTTAGATAACAGTAACAGGGCCTTAGTTTACTTTTTAATAAATAGTTTTAGATAAACGCTTGTTAGTGGCGTTTCTCTCTCACGTGTATCTTGTCGTGGCGTATCAGAATGATAGTAGTATCCAGAATTTATAGGCCCATATGTAGAGGTAAGGTTTATTGCACTTAAGTTATAAATCTACTGACTTATTAAAAATTGATATGGGAATCAATTTATAGTACTGTCTTCGCAGCATAGTCTTTTAACTAAAAATCATTACACTAGTGTCTTCATGCCACGTAGCTTTAATCATGTCAGACCCTTTCTCTCCAATCATTACTGCTGGTGCGTGAGTGTGAACTGACAGAGTTCTAGGTATTATACTGCTATCAATTACTCTCAATCTATGTACCCCATGAACCCGTAATTCGGGATCCACAACAGCTAAAGGATCATTTTCAGGACCCATACGACATGTTGCTATTTGGTGATGTAGCGTTGCTGTTAGAGTCCTAATAGCACACTCCCAATATTCATCAGAATTGAAAGAAAGTTCAGGACACTGCAGGTAATGTGCTTTATGAAGTGTTGCCCCATATTTTTGAAATGGCGGAGTAGCAACTAGCGTCTGAATGTATCGTATGGCGGCTATCAGAGTTCCTACATCATGGGGATGTGTCAAATAATTTCCGTGCATTTTTGGATGGCTAAATGGATTATTGTCTTTTAACTCAAGATATCCAACTGATTTAGGATGTAATAACATAGGAAATATACTGTAGGCATCTGTATTGTCAATAGATCCGAAAGCAGCGTCAAATGTTTGTTCAGTTATTTTCATTCCGCGTCGTATTGCTTTACTTCCAGTTAACCCTCCATCTGCTAGAAGCGATCCACCAAGGCTTATCAATTCTATATCTGGTATTTGATCTGGTTCATCAGATGCCAGAGTTTTGATATATCCAATACCCTCAACACCACCTGGACTTGAAACCACATTGTCGCCAAACTGCATCCACTCAATAAGATTTTGTACATTTCCATCTCTATTCTCATTAAGGGCTATGTTTGTTACATTAAGTGGGAATATAAGACCAGGAAATGTGATGTGATCATAAAGCGTTTTACCTACTGGCAAATTTTGTATAACACGTAAGCCATGTTTTTGAAGATGTTTTTTCGGGCCTATGCCTGATAACATGAGCAACTGAGGAGATGCGATAGGTCCAGCTGACAATATTACTTCTCTGCGTGCTCTTACTTTGTTTTTCAGTCGATTCCTGACGTACTCTACTCCGTAAGCTGTCTTAGTATATTTGTCAATAAGTACCCTGGTCACCGTAGTTAATGGGAGTATATGCAAGTTTGGGCGTTTCTTGTTGGGGCGAAGGAAGACTTTAGCTGCGCTGAGCCTTTTGCCACTCTTGATATTTGCTTGCACATGTCCGAATCCAAGTTGTTCCGGGGAATTGTAATCGGTAGTTGGACTGCCTAATATCCTGCCAGCTTGTAAAAACGCTTCTATTAGTGGTGTCCTGGAAAATTAAATGTTGTTGTTATCAGACAGCGACAGTGTTACAGTAATTCTTTTTTTTTTAATGTTAGAGGGGGCAGAGGAGCAGACGGGTCACCTGATGGAAAGTGACCATCGCCGCCCATGAACGTCTGCAACTCAGGAGTCACAAACGCGTTACCGGCCTTTTAGGAAGGAGTACGCTCTTTTCTTGAAGGTTTGAAGGTCGTATCGGTCCGGCAATACCGCAGACGATAACCCGTTCCACAGATTGGTAGTGCGGGTCAAAAAGTGTCTCGAAAAGCGCACTGTAGTGGAGCGCCAACTATCCAGGTAAAGAGGATGGAAATTTTGCCGTGTGGAACGATGACGGAAATTTGCGGCTGGTATTAGTCCGAATAATTCCTCGGATCACTCTCCTTGATATATGCGATAGAGAATGCAGAGTGAAGCTACATCTCTACGTAACGCCAAGGAATCGAGCCGGTCGCAAATCTTTTGGCTATCGACGATTCGAGTCGCTCTTCGTTGGATGCGGTCCAGAAGGAGAAGCTAGTACTGAGGTGCCCCTGCATAGAGTTGAGAACAGTATTCCATATGCGGTCGGACTTGCGCCTTATAGAGCTGAAGGCGGTGGGCCGGAGTGAATTACTGCCTCGATCTGTCCAGCACACCGAGCTTCTTCGAGGCCAATTTGACTCACCCTCTAAGTGACCCCGAAACTGGACTTCGCTCGATATGTCGACGCCTAGAATTCCGATGCTGGCTGTGGCAGTTAGGGAGGTGCTCTCAAACTGAGGTGATACGACAAATAGTATCTTTTTAGCGGTGAACGCGCAAACCTGTGTCTTTTTTTGGGTTAAAATGGACTAGATTTATTCGGCCCCAATCTGAGACCTCCGCTAAGGAAGTTTCAATTACAGACAAAAGTTTGTTACGACTCTCGATGACGTTTTCCCGAGAAATATTGGGCCGGCCGGTATAAAGGGCATCTCCTGTGCTTTCATCTGCAACATGTCATTGATATGCAGGAGAAACAGTGTGGGTGATAGCACACAGCCTTGTGGGACACGAGCATTTACGAATTTCAAGTCGGAGCATGCACCGTCGACAACGACCTTAATGCTTCTGTCCGCAAGAAAGCTGGTGACTCAATTACACAATTTCTCGGGAAGCCCTAAGGAAGGGAGCTCCGAGAGAAGCGACTTATGCCAGATCCGATCAAAGGTCTTCGCTATGTCCAAACTAACCGCACAAGCCTCTCCTTTGGTTTCGATCATTCATTTGCAAGAGGAAAGAACACCCTGTAACGAGTATTAGATCTCCACAGAATGTTCTCTCCTTGTTGCTAAAATTACATTCACATCACACATCACATCATCAGCCTGTAATAGTCCACTGCTGAACATAGACCTCTCCTTAGAAAGGAGGTTTTGGTTTAAAATTACATTGAAACATTTTTAAGATTGTTCGGATTTTATAAAATGCAACTTATACGAAAAACAAAAATTAATACAAACTGAAGCCGATTATATCACGTAACAGAGTACTGACAAAGTTTGTGAACTTACCTGTATTTCACAAATTCGATGTCCATTTCTCCGTTCGTCCCACGATAAGGGGATCCTTCAAGACCTTCTAAATGGGCACGTTCTGATTTCTTGTAGTACTTGAGAACCTCTCTGTAAGACCTGAAATATAGGATAGAGTAATCGACACCTTATGCGCACTAGACTACTTCCGGACGGCTCAATGCTCAGAGGAGACAGTGGCGTAGGCAGTCCCAGTTCGATTGAAAAAAAATTGTATTCAATAATAATAATTTTATTTTTTGTTTACTTTGTTCTACCGATTTTTCTTATTGTACATATATAGTTATACAAATTTAATGAAACTCGAACATTGTTGAAAATATAAGTTTGCCTATAACGACCTTACTAATATTAGGTCCTTACATATGAAATTGGCTTTTTGTACGGGTGGAATATAAAGTCTATTTTTTTTTTGTAAAATATATTTAATTAATCAAAGTATGCACCGTTGTTATCTATGCACTTTTGCCATCTAATAGGAAGTTCATTGATCCCTTTACTAAAAAACCATGGGAGGCGAAAATCAATAAACTCTTTGAAGGTGCTTTGGACTGCCGCATCGGAGTTGAATTTTTTTCTTTGTAAGTTGTCCAAAGCAAGGTCCGGGGAGTACGGTGGATGTCGCAGACATTCCAATTGAAGCTCATCTAACTTAGTGGTTGTTTTTTTTATTATAAACAGCAGGGGCCTAGAGCGTTTGACCAATCTCGGTTGTTTAGCAGCTAGTTCTTCCTTCATGGTTTGCAGTTGCTGACAATAGATATCTGCCGTAATCGTTTGGCCAGATTTTAGAAAGCTGTAGTGAATGACACCGGCGCTAGTCCACCAAACACTCACAAGTAACTTTTTCTGAGTCAATTTTCGTTTAGGGCAGGATTTGGGTGGGTCTCCAGGGTTCAGCCTTTGCGACGAGCGCTTCCGATTATCATTCAGTATCCACTTTTTATCACAAGTAATGATTCGATTTAAAATCGCTTCATTATTGTGTCGGTTGAGCAAAGTAACACAGCAGTCGACGCGTGTTTGCATGTTCGATTCACTCAATTCATGAGGTACCCATTGTTCAAGTTTGTTTACTTTCCCGATTTGCTTCAAGTGGATTAATACAGTTTTATCACTTACCCCGAAGCCTGCAGCTATCTCTGAAGTGATTTGTGATGGATCCGCTTCCACAATAGCCTTTAATTCTTCATTTTCCACTTTGGTCTCCGTCCGTCCACGGGGTTGGTTCTGAAGGTCGAAATTTCCAGAACGAAAACGTTGAAACTAAAAACGTACTGTGCTTTCTTTTGCGACACCAGCGCCGTACACATCATTAATTCTTCGAGCTGTTTCTGCAACACTGGTGCCACGATAGAACTCTTACTCGCAAATATACCGATATTTCATGTTTTCCATTGTGCGGTAGTAAGGGACGCCAAAGAAAAAAATAACGAGGATAAAACAAATAAATGACTGTTTTCAAAACTCAAATGTACCAGCTAAATGAATTTATAAATTTGAATTTGGAATTCTTAACCAAAGAGGAGATATTTCAGATCAAAGTGGTCAGTACGACAAAACGCTAATTTCATATGTAAGGAACTAATATAAATTTACAGTATTCGGCGTCTTCCACCTTGGGCAATTCGTTTCGTAATTATAATCAGCTACTAACAATTCAAAAATGCAATAAATTGTAGAGAAATTAATTAATAAAGTTAAAGAATCACGAAACAATAACAAAAAACAGTAAAAATATTATTTATATCGATATTGGTTTTATAGGTGATGAATACTTTATATCGGGTACATAGTAGTTATACTCTTATTTATTTTCAATATTAATAAAATCAAGAATTACCAGCCATAGTTCCCAGCGCTGGCGATTCTATCGCATTCCTCGGGTCTGCCTCTGGTATAGATCATGTAGTTGATAGTACTTGTTCCACCGACAGACCTGCCTCTTGGCCAGTAGCACTTATTATTCTCCATTCCTGGAATAAATTTGAACATTACATTTTTTTAAACTATTTTAAAGCATAAGGAGGTATCTTTTACCTTTCATTAAAATCCCAAGTATCGATACTGGAAAAATATATTTTAATTCAGAATATGATGAGTTTATTATTTGAGAATTTTAGGTAAGAATAAATAGCTCTAATAAAAAAGAAACTTAATTTATAGGCCGACCGTTTATCTGAGTCCTCGCCTGCGCGGTAACAGGGGCGCGGGGGTATGAAGACAAAGGGGACTGAGACAGGTGCGGGCGGTGGGCGAATTTTTGTAATCGCTCATTTCGATCGCAACGCGGACAGCGATCGCACGTGTTAATTGTTGCGGACGCCTTGTGAGAGATACACATGTGATAACAATCTCAAGATGAATCGTAAGATCTTCGGTCATAAAGTGAGTAGTCAGTGCAAGCAAATGGCTTTAAACGTGTACAAATATTTTAGATAAAAGAAACTGGACCCAAATTCTGTTGAATATCAACAAGACATACATTTAAACAAAACCGTAGCAGAAGTTACTGGACTGTCGGAAAAGACTGTATCTAGAATCGTACATCAAGGGAAATCATTGAAAGACAACGAAATATTCAAATCACAGAAAAAATCAAAACAGGTTCGCAAAAAAAAAGTAGAAATAGACGATTTCACAAAAGGAGTGGTAAGAAGAAAAGTCACTCAGTTTTATACAATTGATAAAAAAATACCTACTCTGAAAACGTTGAATGCTGTACTTAGAGAAGAGAATATATTACACTGCGGAAGGGAATATTTAAGGCTGTTGTTACATGACCTAGGTTTTAAATTTAAGAAATGTGGTTCTTAAAGGAAACTCCTTACAACAGAACTTGAACTTGAGAACTTGAGAACTTGAACAGCCAAATATAACATCGTGGAGGTGGAAATACCTACGGACTATCAAAAAATATCGTAGAGAAGGAAGACATATTTTATATCTTGACGAAACATATGTAAATGAGTCTCATAACGTTTCAAAATGCTGGTAATCCAAGGATGTACATGGCGTACTAACTGATATTGGAAAAGGGAACCGTTTGATCATCGCACATTGTGGAGGTTAAACTGGATTTGTAGACGGAGCACTTCTGATATTTAAATCCATATGTAAAACAGGTGATTATCACGATTCTATGAATTTCGTGAATTTCAGTAAATGGATAAATGAAAAGCTAATGCCCAATATACCACCAAATTCCGTCATCGTGATGGATAACGCAGCTTACCGTTCGGTTCGAGAAGAAAAAAATCCGACTGTGGCTTCTACCAAGGCAGTTATGCAAACATGGTTACGACGACACGACGTGGTTTTCGATGATAAGCTGAAAAAGGACGACTTATCAAAATTGATTAAAAAGACAGAAACTGAAGATATTTATAAAAATTGACGAGTTATTGAAAAGAAGCGGGCATGAAGTGTTGCGTTTGCCTCCTTATCACCCAGACTTGAACCCTATTGAGTTGGTTTGGGGTGACATTAAGGGGCAATTAGCACAAAAAAGTGTGGACTCTAATCTAGACCAAAAAAAACTATGTTAGAGGGATTTTTTGCTGAATATTCTGCACAGAAGTGGGAGCACTGTGTTAACCATGTAATTAATATCGAGGACGAGTACTGCAAACATGATGGAATTCGGGATGATGCTGTTGATTTTATTATTAACACTCTGGACGACTCTGATGAATCCGATGATGACTCCTTAGAAAGTGAAGAATCAAGTTCCACCGACATTGATATGGACATAACTGATTGAAATATAATTTTGATGATTATTCTATATAATAAATAGTACAATAGTTTATTACCAAATATTTTATTTACGTACCTTCATAGCTTTTAGTTAGTTAATTAAAATTTTGTATTATCATTAATAATTTTTCATTTAATAAATCACTATTTCTTTACCATGACGTCACATATCTCAGGAACTATCTTGGCGCATTTCATCTCGTGTGTATCTCACTAAACGCCCCCACCGCACCGCCCGCACTTGTCTCAGTCCCCTTTGTCGTCATACCCCCGCGCCCCTGTTACCGCGCAGGCGAGGACTCAGATAAACGGTCGGCCTATAATGTTCATATTTATAGAGACATACAAATCGAATCAGTACAACCTGAATTTACACGTGACCTTCGTCACGCAACGTCTTTCACAACCTCATTATATTAGTATAAGTTAGCTGTAATTCATAAATGGAAATTGTTACTAACTGCCTTGTTCTACATATTTTGCTTAGTAATAAATAATGTTATAGATTTCCTTTTAATTATAATTTTGAAATTAACGTTATAAAAATATGTAAATTAATTTTACAAAAAGTATGATCGACTTATTGAAGTATGTGATAAAATTTTATAGTAATACATTATGATAAATAGTATTCTTTATGCCTTAATTTTCCACACCTTGAGAACTATGAATTTTATTAATTTTAAAGGTTTGCATACCTAAACAAACACCGGGTTGTGGTTCCATGAAATAGGGCCAAGCGTATTCAGTCAGTTGAAAGAAAGGTGCTATGCTTGGGATATCAGTGAAAAAGTTCTCTGGTTGACCGGCTTCCAACAAAAGTACCATTACGTCAGGGTCTTCGGAGAGTCGAGAGGCTACGACGCAACCAGCTGACCCAGCACCAACTATAATGTAGTCATATTCTACTAGTGGAAATTTTAGTCCTGAAAGATCACAATAATTATCATAAGATAAAGATGTATTCGCTGTTGCCTGCGCACTTAGTAATAAATATGCTCATCTAGTAATAAATACATATATAGTTGTAGTTTTGCATAAGGTATTTCTACATATTTGCGCATCATACAGATGAAAATTCCAAATCTGACTCAGTCTTTTCATAGGGTTTATATAACATTATTTATTTATTTCAAATAGGTACATCAACGACTTATTCACGATTACATTCGGCATAAAAAAATTGTGGCATTCGTTTACAGTGAATTCGTCACTTAAAATAGTACACTGCAATTGCATAAAATGCTGCCGTGGAAGAGCCCTTCGGCACAAATGGACCGGCTCCACTAGAGCGATACCATGGCCTCTAGACATGGAAATTATTGCTACTTTTAAATCATATTCATTTGATGATGTGATTGGTTTTAGTCCCAGAAATTTCACATGTGATTATGATTTCGTCATAGACAAAGATAAATGGCATCAAACTCAATAAATATCTTGTTATCAAAGATTACGACTATTTTTTTAAATTGAGACTTTAAGTGGCAGTGGTGGTGGTGTGATGATATCTTATATATAAAATTCTCGTGTCACAATGTTAGTGACCATACTCCTCCGAAACGGCTGGACTGATTTTTATGAAATTTTGTGTGCACTTCGGGTAGGTCTGAGAATCGGCCAACATCTATTTTTCATACCCCTAAATGACCCCTAAATTTTTTTTTCAATATTTCTAGAAATAATGTATATGGCAAAACAACGTTTGCGGGTCAGCTAGTGATTTATAAATCTTTTGATTTATCACAAGTGATTGTGAATTCAATTCAATTCCATCCCTAATGGCCCGCTGTTAAGCAATTCTAACGTTGCTTTTCACCAGTGAGTGAGTTTAACGAATCCCTAACTCCTCTTGAGTCTGGAGGAGGAGCTTAATGGTGTTGTGACTTTGTGTTGCGGGTGTCCAGGCAGGCGACCCGGCTATAGTCCTAACCGAAGGCTAGCGATCTTTAATGCATAAACAAACATATACAAACTCTGTTATTATCTGACTGAATATATCAGCATAGCAAATGTGTTCACTTAACTGCATTTTAGTTCTTTGATCATTTTTTTACTACATGAATGTTTTATATCTCACTGTTAAATAAACCCCTTAGCTATAATAATAATACTTTATTTCGCCTCCACACATTTTTTTTATATCTGGTTACATAACACAGCCTAGTCTAGTTTTCACATGCTATGTTAGTTAAGTACCCGTACATTTATATGGAATTGACTCGAATGCCAGTCCCACTAAGAGATACATATCTATTTATATATCTATTTTATACCTTATGGTGATTGGACAAACTAATAATAAAAATTAAGGCAAGTTGTCTGATGTTTATCGCACTGTGAAGTGTACAAGATGGTTTCTTAAGAATAATTATACATTTCATGCGAGGCCTTCATTGCAATGCTTAAATGTAAAGTTTCAACTTTAATGATTATATATTTTGGCGATTGCTTAAAAATTTCAAAATGAAAATTAAATTAATTAATTAATAATTGCCGCTTAATAATTATTTAAAAAAGGTCACAATTTTCGAAAGGACCTCACAATGAAAAAATAAATGACAGTCTTGCAAATTTTTAAGTAACGTGTTCCCAAAGAGTTCCAATTTTGAATTCCATAATTGTTTTTTTATTCTTTTATTGTAAGTGGCCAGATCCAGATACTTTCAGTATGCCTCATGTATTAAAGCTTAGATGGCTCGGCCTTGTTTCGGCTGGCCGTTATGGCGGGTGGAGGGGAAAATCCATCCCGTCCACCCGCGGCCCCGCTCAGGGCGGCATGAGGCGCTGGAGGTACTTTAGTATCATCCGCAAACAAAACACAGTCATGACTTTGTATGGCCTGTAGGAAATCATTAATGTCACTTATAAATAGCAAGGGACCCAAGACACTCCCTTGTGGCACACCGTGATAATTGTATCTAGGCTCTGAATCAAAGTTTTCTAATCATCCTTTACACATTTGCCTACCTACCCTTCAATGCATCCTAGTCTCTTGACTAGGATGCATTGAAGGGTCAGAGTATCCCATGAGTTGAAAAACATCTGTACTTTCTCACTCTATATTTGAATGCTAAACCAGTATACTATTAAAATAAATGAAAAAAACATTTGAAATAAATATATCTAAGGTCTTTTTTTTTAATCTTGGTTTAATCTTGAGAAACCGGGTTTCTGTAAGTTCGTGGTATCACTTCGGTCGAGCCAGCCTATTTGTGGTGAAGCATGGCTCTTCTATGGGATAAAGCGTAAGGTGACAGACGCTACGCGGTAACAGCTCACTATTATATAGGTATTTTAATACCTATTGACTACAATAGGTATTTTACTAAAACAACGTTACAAAGTATTTTATAAATATATCCAATACTAAGTGAATTAATTAGCATTCACGGAATGGTTATGACAGTAGCATTCGATTGGGCTTTTACTTATTTCACATAATCAAACAAATGTTTTAAATCGAAACTAATTTTTACTTACCGTTCGGCAGAGGATAACGGTCTCTTAAAAAGTCAAACAAATCTAATGGATTCTTCGGAGTATACTTCGGTGAGACTGACTGCATCAATATGTTGATAATAGGATTCTGAATGTATGAAAATCCGTCGTCACACTTGATGACGTCGTTACAGATGAGCATCAAGAGTATGAGGAAAGAACCGTATACGTAGAATGTTTTGTCAAACATTTTGCTGAAAAGTTCTAAACATAATTAAATGTATCACTTATCGTAAAAAAAACATGGACATGACAAAACAAAGTCGTAGTGGAGGCCAGTATCTAAAATGCGCAGCAGCTGGCTACAAGCAAATGCATTAAAAATTAAGTATGAAAGAAAATCGAGCGCCCAGTTACCAAGGTCTAAATGACCAACACGTGTTTAATTAACGCAAAAAGTGCAAAAGTAAATAGCCGAATACATTTTTTTTAATGTATGCTATGGTGCAATCTAGTTTATCAGCCTTATTGTTGAAACCGTATTATTATATATATATATATATATATATATATATATATATATATTACAAAAAATTATTTGAAAGTGACGAAGGAAACCCTGTTACTATGAATGGCAAGCGCTATAACTCGATGTTAGCCAAATATTTCTTTCCGGAATTTGATGATATTGATGCAGACGACCTCTATTTTCAACAAGACGGTGCACCAATTTCGAGAAATGGACCGATCAGTTGGCCATCAAGATCGTGTGATTTAACACCTTTAGACTATTTTCTTTAGGGTTACGTTAAATCTAAAGTGTACAGCAATAATCCAGCTACAATTCGTGACCTAAAAACCAACATTCGACGAGCCATAGCCGACATACCGGCCGAAATGGTGCACCGCGTCATCGAAAATTGGCGTGAGCGGGTGACCGTCTGCAAAAAGAGCCGCGGCGGTCATTTGGCCGATATATTATTTAAAACATAAATTGCATAAAATTATCTATCAAATAAATCAAACGGATACATTTTTCATAAAAAATTGTGTGTTTTATTCAATTTTCAAACTAGGACGTTCTTATTAGTAGACCCCATATCAATATATATATATATAAATATAGATATATTTATTTATTATTTGCACTGCTTAAGTAAAATACTAGTGCTGTAAATGTTATTTCATTTCTAAAAGCAATGCTTGTTTTTATTAATATGTTACGATGAAAATGGAGTGTAGAGCAAGGTGTGTCCTAAACGAATGGAAAGATTTTTTTATTTTTATTTTTAAAGTTGAACTATGAAATGTCCTGATGTGTTCTTATCTCTGTTTCTGATATCTGTTTATCGTCAGCGTTTTTTTAAAAGCTTACTCTTACTTCGGTTTAGAGAGAAAATAAGTAGGAAGAGTTCTAGGATATATTACACTGTTACACTGTTACTGTGCTTTCTAGATCCAAACTAAGCGTAGCCTTTACTCGCATAGTGAAGAACACCGGTAAAATGTACTATGCTCATTGCAAATGATTGTTAAGAGAAACTAAAATTCTAACTGGTTAGTCTATTCTAATAACACCAATACAGAAGCATTTTTTTGTTAGCTTGAAAATAATGATTGTGGTCTAGTTAAACTAAGTTTAAGTTATTTTTAATACCTTATGTCGAGGGTAGCTTCTTTTGTATTCTTTTAAGGCAAATATTTAATTTACGGTAAAATAATCTTCTTATTAGTAAAGTTTATTTCATTATGTATATATAAGTAATTTTTATTTTTTATTTATTGAGTAATACTTTAAAATTTTAATTAAAATTACTTGCCCTGACTGACTCACTGATTTATCAACGCAGAGTCAAAACCGCTGGGGTTATTACAACCTTGAAATTTAGGCATCTGATGCTCTTTATGTTGTCAGCCTTCACTGGGAATAGATTTTTGGAAATTTCACTCTTAAGGGGGTAAACTAAGTGATAAACGGTTGTATGGCTGGCAATAGCTAGTGCTTTATAAGGTCAGATAATAATAGGCAGAGATGATCTGCAAACGAAGATTTTTAGTAGTAATGAGTACATTAATGCGAATTCAAATGGGTTCCATAACGTATTTTTTATAAAAGATGACTTACCTAAATGTTAAATTTTATAAGTAACTGCATAATTTATTTCTTTTAAGGTCACAAAGCCTATCATTACCTCTTAATACAATTTCATTCGAAAAAAGTTTCATAATTTAAAGTTGTTTGCCTTGAATGCTGCAATATGTACATGGGCTACTATCGTATAAAAACGTGTAAAAAGTCTCGCAAGGTATTTCAAAGTCAAAGTCTACCGCAAAAAGTAAAAATATGTACGAACTTAAATAATTTACAATATTTTACAGTTATCGTATCAATAATAGACCTTATTTTTTCCAAAGTATTTTGAATAATTTGACCAAAGCATGAATTGAACATAACTGGCCAAATTTATGCAAACACAAAACTATAGAAATAGGGCGCTCAAAGCATTGTATCTCAATTCTAGTAATCTGAATGATGGGTTGTTTTCTCTACCCTCTACAGAAAAAGCCAACATAAATTTTGTTATATTTGTCATTTTACTATTTTATTTTATTATGAGAGTGTCAGGCAATTATTTGTAAATAATTAAATTTAATAAGGGTAATGAATATCTTATATGAAATAATTTCAAGTAAGATATATTCACCAATAATTTAGAATAAGAAAATTATTTTTAAATATTTAATTAAAATTATAGTAAGAAAAAAATATCATCAACCTCTGCGTACTCAAGTTTTCTTTACTACGAATAAGTAATATATTATTATACCGAAGAAAATTTTGAAGTAAATTTGACTCGTATCTCATTTGGAAATTTAAATGAAAAATGTTTTTTGTTTTTATTTTTTACACAAGTACACAAGCCAAATAATCGAACTTAAAAAAATATGTCACCGTACAAAACAGAAGAAAAAGAAAAACTACTTACTTATTTAATTAAAAACACACAGTTTTACATTCTAATTCGATCAACTCGATTTGCACTAACATAAAAGGGGCCTTGTAAGCCATGCGGCTACGCTGCCGATCTAATAACGTATGAATTGATTCAAAAGTAAATAAACCAGAGTCTTGGATAACTTTCTGTGCTACAAGTACAGTCGGCAAGTAAAAGTACTGAACAGAAATCGACTTGAATCGAATTGTACGTACTTACATTGTATATACTTACATTGTATTTTCCAATTATGTTGACAAACTTACTTTGAAAACAATAACTTTATAAGGTAACTAGCTGTAGTTTGAGCCCAATCAGTGCAGAACTTTTTGAGTTTTTGAGGCGTACACAATTTTTTTTTTTTACTAAACAAGTCTTAATACACTGCCACCTTCTTCAGAGGATACACTGATAACATTGGCTGAACAATATAATAAGGATATAATTCAAAATTTAAATTTAATGTTAACACACTAGAGTATAAACCAATGTCAAATTGTAAGTGTACATTCTTTTACTAAAAATACTTCCTCCAGACAAGAAAAAAGACTATCCAACTTTGATGGTGGCAATAACTGTCACGGGTTCAGTTTAGTACTTCTAAAATAGAAATTCTCGAACTATTAAGTGATGTTCTTTTACATGTCGACTATCCTTACGCTTGCTTGCTTGCAAGCTAGGTGGAGTGACGATTTGCGCAAGATGCGTAAGCAGGACGCAAAATCACGAAATTAACCTAGTGTCTGGGGATTTCAATGCGAAAGTTGGGGAGGGTTACTAGGAGTAGCCGGGAAATTTAGACTTGGAGCAAGAAATGAGAGGTGTAGAATTTTACCAAGAATATGATTTAGCCATTGTGAACACATACTTTCACCGAGAAGACTGTACACATGGACGTCATCTAAGAACACTACTCAATACATATTGAGAAACCAGGTAGACTACATTATGATCAATAAACGCTTTCGTAATTATATAAAAAAAAATGCTAAGACTTATCCTAGAGCTGATATACCACAATGGCATGTAGACTTAGGCCCGGGGTTCCCTGAACGTCGGTCGCTTGCGACCGACGACCGACGCATGTCCGCCGCCGGTGTCGTACGAATGCCATGAGCATTTCATGCTGGGTTCTCAGAAATATCGCCGGCTGCGGACAGTGATAGCGGTCAAAATCGCACGCTGCACGCGTCCGTCTATATCATAACTGTACCATAGCGACGGGCGCACGCCTGGCTTTAAAATGAGTTTTAATAAAGAAAAATGAATTGTTAATTATTTTTATACGATATGATGAGATCAGACGATCAGCAGCTGAGTTAATCGCAGAGATAAATAGGTCATAGAGGACAAGAAAATTAAAGGAATTTGTTTGAAGGAGTGAGGCTAAATTTAGATCTAGTGATGTTGCAAATTGATCCCAATTGTACACATGAGACATTTACAAAGACTATATATATCCCTAATTAGAAGTCGTATTGACTATGCGTCCTTCCTATATTATTGTAGTGATAAGTCATATTTGTAAACTTGATAAAATTCAGAACCAGGCCTTGAGAGTGGTAGGGGGATTTATCAAAAGCTCACCGATTCATGTCATGGAGAGTGAGTTACACATTGCGCCTTTGTTTCTTAGGAGACAATATCTAGTGTACAAATATTCATTAAAAATTAGATCTTGGTCTGTAAATAGTATTAATAGTTTAATTTCTGAAATGAGTGCTCTATGTCACATCAGATATTGGGCTACTAAAAAAAAGCCTATGCTGACACAAACATTTGAAGATATTAAACAAATTTATTGCGATTCTGTTGATATTCTTAGAAAGCATTCTTTCGATATTTGGTTATCGGCTATTGATTTTCAAAAATGTGTCAGTATTTATTTAGATAGCATATCACTAGCGAAATCTTACTATGAGCCTAATAATTTGATAAATAATGTATAAGAGTTAAATATGAACTATAGTAGTTGGAATAAATTGTATTCTGATGGGTCTAAGGACGCTCATGGATCAGGTGCAGGTTTTTACGATCATAGTTGTAATCACAGAGCAGGTTTTAAAATAAGTTCAGAAGTATCTATTATGACGTTGGAACTCATTGCAATATTACAAGCTTTGTCCTATGCGTTGGGGAAAAATTACAATAAAGTAGTTGTTTTTACAGACAGTAAAAGTGCACTGTAACACGTGGCTCGATGCGCCTCTGGTTTCAGAGGTGTTTCGATAGCTTATGAAATATTAAACGTCAT